CCCCCCAAACCCCTGCCCAGGTGAGCTCCGGGGGCTCCGGCCGCACCTTCACCACGCTGGTGCTGAGTGAGAAGCCCCCCAAGGACGGGGGGGCCCCCCCAGAGCCCCCCCAGGACGTGCCCTACCCCGAGGATTTGCTGCTCAGCCGCCTCTTCCTGCCCGAGGGTCTGCACCCCGACATTCGGGGAAAGGGGGGACCCCCACCTTTGGGACCCTCTGGAGGGGCTTTGGGGATCCCCTCGCCATGGGTTTGGGGGGCTGGGGGGGGCTTGAGGGGGTCTGGGGGGATTCCTTGGGTACCTGAGTCCATTTTGGGGGGTCCCTAAAAGGGATCTGGGGAGGCCTGGGTCGTTTTTGGGGAAATCCTGTGAGATTTGGGGGTCACTGGGTCGTGTTTGGGGTCCCTGAGAGGGATTTGGGGTGGGGTCTCTAAAGGGTTTTGGGGGTCCCTGGATTGCTGGGTCCCTTGTAGGGGGGTCCCTGAAGGTTTTGGGGTCCCCCCCAGGGCCCCCCGGGCACTGCCTGGAGCAGCTGCGCCCCGAGGACATCGTGGGGGTCACGGCCAAGACCCTGAGGGTGAACCCCGAAATTCTGCTGCAGGAGCTGCGCCCCCCCAGGGGACCCCGACCCCGGTATGGGGGTCCTGGGGGGAGAATTGGGGGTCCTGGGGGTGAAATTGGGGTCCTGGGGGTGAAATTGGGGTCCTGGGGGGAGAATTCCGCCCCATTCTGGGGTCCTAGTGTAGATTTTGGGGTCGTGCTTTGGGTTTTGTGACCCCCTTGTGGATTTTTGGGGTGCCACTGTGGATTTTGTGACCTCCCCCTTTGTCGGTTTTGGGGTCCTGTTGTGGTTTTTTTTTTTGTCACCTCTCTGTAGATTTTTGGGGGTCTCCCTGTAGATTTTGGGTTCTCCCCGTGGATTTTGTGCCCCCCTTGCAGATTTTGGGGTCCCCCCCCACCACGTTTTTCTCTCTCGTCCCCCCAGCTCCCCTCCCCCGGGCGGGGGTCTCTCTGCAGCCCTGCAGGAGCTGTCCAGGCTGGCTGGGGGTGCCGGCAGGGAGGGGGGGCTGCCCCTGCTCGAGGCTTTTGGGGTCCCCCCCGGCCGTGACCCCGCAGCTCTGGCGGCTGCAGCCGAAATTCGGGACCTGAGCCAGGCCCTGAGGGGCTTCCGCTGCGTGCACAGCCCCCGCTTCGCCCAGCAGGTACCACAGGGGGGCTCTGGGGGGGCTCTGGGGGGGTTTGGGGACCCCCCTGAGCCCTCCCCGTGCTCTCCCAGTACTCCCAGTTTGCTGCCAGGCAGGAGCTGCTGGAGCAGCTGGAGGAGCTGCAGTTCCAGCTCTCGGACCAGTCCCTGCTGCTGCTGCCCGAGTATCACCAGAGACTGGAGGTGGGGGCCAAAAAATCCCCCCCGGGACCCCCAAAA